CCTGTGGAACACCCTCCCTTCAGATGTGAAGGAAATAAGCAGCTATCCTATCTTTAAAAGACATCTGAAGGCAGCCCTGTTTAGGGAAGTTTTTAATATTTAATGCTGTATTGTTTTTAATATCTGATTGGGAGCTGCCCAGAGTGGCTGGGGAAACTCAGCCAGATGGGCGGGGTATAAATAATAAATTATTATTATTATTATTATTATTATTATTATTACTACTACTACTACTACTACTACTACTACTACTACTACTACTACTATACCTGCTCCTTCAGAGGAAGTGTAACCCCATCAGGAGCAAAACAAAAAAAATCCTTCCAGTAGCACCTTAAAGACCAGATCCTTCCCCACCTTCTCACTATATAGAAGGATCTGGCAACTTCTGTTTCAGTGTATCTGAAGAAGTGTTCATGCACACGAAAGCTTATACCTAGAACTAACTTAGTTGGTCTTTAAGGTGCTACTGGAAGGAATTTTTTTGTTTTGACTATGGCAGACCAACACGGCTACCTATCTGTAACCCATCAGGAGCAGGCCAACTCCCAGCCATCTGGTCTAGCAATCCACCCACTAACAGTGCCTCAGTTTTATCCGGACTGAGCTTCCGTTTGTTGGCTCTCATCCAATCCATTATTGAGGCAAGACACTGGTCCAGCACTTCCACTGCCTCACCTGCGGACGTAAAGGAGAAGCAGAACTGTGTGTCATCGGCATATTGCTGACAATGTTCTCCAAACCTCCAGATAACCCCACTCAGCAGTTTTGTATAGATCTTAAATAGCACAGGGGATAAAACTGAACTCTGAGGAACCCCACTGAAGAACACTCCCCAGGCAACACCTTCTGGGTGTCACCCAACTCTAACTCAGACAGCTGCTCCAGAGAAATGCCGTGGTCGATGGTATCGAAAGCTGGCAAGAGGTCAAGGAGAATTAACAGAGACACATTTCCCCAGTCCCTCAGAGATCATTATACAGGTGGCGAAAGCAGCTTCTGTGCCAAAACCAGGCCTAAACCCTATTTGAAATGGGTTGAGAAAATCTAGAATCCAGCATGGGGCTCTTGTTTCTTTTAATGTACAGTGGTACCTCGGGTTAAGAATTTAATTTGTTCTGGAGATCCGTTCTTAACCTGAAACTGTTCTTAACCTGAGGTACCACTTTAGCTAATGGAGCCTCCTGCTGCACGATTTCTATTCTCATCCTGAAGCAAAGTTCTTAACCTGAGGTACTATTTCTGGGTTAGCGGAATCTGTAACCTGCGGAGTCTGTAACCTGAAGCGTCTGTAACCCGAGATACCACTGTATACATTTCCTCCTCTCTCTCTTTTTAAAACAGCGTTTCTATCCTATTTGTATTTTATACATTTCCTCACACAGTATCTATCCTGTTCACATTGTAACTATGCATGGGACATTTTTTTAAAAAAAGTAACTCTAAGCAAGGTGAGGCAACAAATTCAAGCACTTGCTAAGGAAAACACAGTTTCTGGGGTCAAGGGACAAATATTCAGCATGGACGATATCTGAAAACCTTACAAAATGACTGCTTAAAGAATAGCCTGCCCCCCCCCAATAAATCCCTGCCCCAATAAATCCTGGCTATGCCCATGGCTGGGATGCGGGTGGCGCTGTGGGTTAAACCACAGAGCCTAGGACTTGCCTATCAGAAGGTTGGTGGTTCGAATCCCTGCAACGGAGTGAGCTCCCATTGCTCGGTCCCTGCTCCTGCCAACCTAGCAGTTTGAAAGCACATCAAGTGCAAGTAGAAAAATAGGTACCACTCTGGCGGGAAGGTAAATGGTGCTTCCGTGCGCTGCTCTGGTTCACCAGAAGCGGCTTAGTCATGCTGGCCACCTGACCCGGAAGCTGTACACTGGCTCCCTCGGCCAGTAAAGCGAGATGAGCGTGCAACCCTAGAGTCGGTCATGACTGGACCTAATGGTCAGGGGTCCCTTTACCCTTTACCTATGCCCACGGCCTAGCTCAGTGACCTGATAAGAAGGCAAATGTTCTGCTCTCTAGCAATCAGATCATTCATTTGATGAGCAGGGAGCAGTAATAGCTCCTTTTAAGCTGATCTGTACAGCTCAGCTGAGGAGGGTGAATGCAGCACCAAAACCAAAACTGGTTTGCCACCATTGAGCTAAAGGAACATCCAGGACACATGCATGATGATCAGGGAAATATTCCACAGAAGTGAAAATAAATAGAAACAGCAATGTGGTTGTTAAAGATATTAGCAGGGCCGTCTTACCCATAGGCGCTAGGGGTGCAGGGCACCTGGGTGCCGGGCTCTCAGGGGTGCCAGGCCGAGAGTCTGGGGAAGAGCCAGGGAAGAGCCTGCCCGTCAGTCAGAGCGCCACAGTGGGCTCTGCTGTGGGCGGCTTTGTGTTGTGAGTTTGGGGGCAACTGAGCCAGTCAGACACTGAGGCGGCTGGCTGGCTCCGCCCTCCTGCGTGCCTGGGACTGGGCAACCTGGGGGAGGTGCAGTGTGGATCTTTGCACCCCGGCGCCACATATGCTTAAGACGGCCCTGGATATTAGAACTGGAACGAATACCATTTGGACACGTACCCCCAAAACTGCAAACCTAGCTCTGGCAATTCCGAGAAACTTCTGACTTGTTTTTCCTGAGACACCAGCATGCTCACCCACGGCATGCATAGTGATGCTAGGGTGTGGCAATCACGCTTAAGATTAAAACTGAATGCAGAAATGTGGGCAGGTGAGAGCAAGAACATTACAGAATCATAGTTCCTGTTGCTGCTGCATAGGGATCATTTATTCAAAGGAAACATATCCACTGGGCTAGCACGTCCCCTGGGTTGTTTGGCTTCTAAATGATGTCTAACGAACTATTCTGAGGAGGTGGCTACAATGGTAGAAAGAAAATATGACTAGGTCAGGGGTCTGCAACCCGCGGCTCCGGAGCCGCATGTGGCTCTTTTACACCTTTGCCGCGGCTCCGGGGCGGAGGCGCATTGCGTGCCCCGACACTCCCCACTGTGGCGGGCGCTGTACTGGCTGTGACGTCGCATGGGGGCGGTGCGTGCGTTAGTCACGCACCATCCCGACGTCACCTTCCCGCCCGCTGTCAGATCGGACATTAAGGTACGAAACAATATATGCAGTGTTACATTTGTTTTAAATGTCGCAATGGTTTTGCGGCTCCCAGTTTTTTTTCCTCTTCGGAAACGGGTCCAAGTGGCTCTTTTTGTCTTAAAAGTTGCAGACCCCTGGACTAGGTTATAAAATTATTGTACACAACTTCAGGGAGGCAGTTTATGAATCTGCAAAATTAATAATGAAGAAAGCAAACTGTATGAATATGAAAGTATTGCAGGAAGTGTAGGTAGATTTGCATGCTCACTGGCCCAGCTATGGAGCAGACCGAGGCCTGCATTTCTGCTGGTTCCTGGTTCAGCAGACGAGAGGCAGGGGGGTATTATAGCAGTGCATACTAGCATATCGAAAGGTCGGCAGTTCGAATCCCCGCGGCGGGGTGCGCTCCCGTTGTTCGGTCCCAGCGCCTGCCAACCTAGCAGTTCGAAAGCACCCCCCGGTGCAAGTAGATAAATAGGGACCGCTTTCTAGCGGGAAGGTAAACGGCGTTTCCGTGTGCGGCTCTGGCTCGCCAGAGCAGCGATGTCACGCTGGCCACGTGACCCGGAAGTGTCTCCGGACAGCGCTGGCCCCCGGCCTCTTGAGTGAGATGGGCGCACAACCCCAGAGTCTGTCAAGACTGGCCTGTACGGGCAGGGGTACCTTTACCTTTTTTACCTTTACTAGCATGGCACTATGCCACACGCTGGACCACTTTTGGCGCACTTGCTAAAGAGGTTTGCTCTCTTTCCAGTGGGAAAGATCCAGAACAATACAGAAATGGAGATTGCTCACAGGGTTCTGTGGCGGGTCCAGAAAGCTGTCCACGCATAAAATTAAAAAAAGTTAAACCAGCGACACCTCTTCTTCTGTAAGGGGAGAGAACATGTTTGTCTAGGGAGGAGGAAGAAGCGCCTCTTCAGCAACGTGGCACGCGTGATTCATCCACTTATATTCCTTTCGCAAACTTCGTCAGAAGTTGCACTGTGGGGCTGTGAAGTTGCACTTTAGCAAGACAGATTCAGAGCTATCAAAGAGCGACTCCGGAAAGGTGGGGGGAGCTTTGAGGGAGGAAAGGGGCGGCTGTAGCAGAAGAGGAAGTAATGAGCAACAGCCCATTTCGAAGCACGCTTACTTCAGCCCAAAGTCCCACTGAACTCAAAGGAAGTTCCCTGCGCGCAAGTGAGCAATGGCGCTAAGCAGCCACGCAGTCCGATCCTGTGCGTATTTACGCAGAGCTCCCGCTTAGCTCCGCTGGGCGCCCCCCCTCTCCCAAATCAGAGCGCAGACAGACTTTAGGGGGTAAAAGATGCCCCTCCTCACCCGCTTTACAAGGGATGCAAAAGCTATGGGGCATTGTGTTCCTCGGCACACCCACCCACCGCGTTTCATAGCCCGACGAAGAACTCTGGAGAACTCAAAAGCTTGCTCGCTTTTTTGAGACGGTTGAGACCGAGCCACTGCCCAGTTTGTGTAACAAGCCGTACTAGGGAAGAAACTTGCGAACCCAGCGCGCTAGCTGTTTATTATCCTGGGGAAAGTTCCGCTAGGTTTAATCCAAAGCAAAGAAAAACAGGGATGGTATAAAAGTGAAAGGAGAGGCGCTCGCGAATCCGCGCCCGGGTTGAGAAGAGGCTTCCGAAAGAAGGACGGGCCGTCGAGGAAGCAGGAACAGGAAAGGGTGGGGGGAGAAAGTGGGGGGCTGGGAGGAAGAGCCGGGGAGGCGCGTGGGGTTCAGGAGGAGAGAGGCTAAGAAGATCTGGGTGGGGGACACCCGCGACGGCAGCGTGGTGGGCAAAGGGCCGTCGGGGCTGGCGATGGAGAGGGTGGGTGGGGGGAACACGAGGACGCCAGCTGGAGCGCGAGAGGCCGGCCGAGCCCGGGACTTACCCAGATGCGGAGAAGGCTCGGGGCAAGAGGCGTCCGGCTTGGAGGCATTGGGCGCCGGGGCCGCGGGGTCCTTCCGAGAGGGCGCCGGGCCGCGGGGCGCCGCCGCTTCCAGGCTCCACTGGAAGCTGAGCGTGCTGCCGGCCAAGCAGTAGAGGACGACGGCCAGGAGGTGGAGGACGCAGAAGATGACCAGCAGGCGGCAAGCCTTCTGCAGCGAGGCGCCGGGCAGCTCCTTCATGGTGCGCGCCGTCAGTGCTGCTCCGAGCGCGGCGTCCGAGGGCGCAGCATCGCGGCGCGCTCGGCAGGCCGGGGAAGCGACGGCACCGCTACAAAGGCGCCCAGGCGCTCGGCAGCCGCCTGCCTGCTGTCCTGCCCGGCGCGGAGGGGAGGGGAATTGTGATGTCAGGCGGGGACTCCGCCTTTCCCCGCGGCGGAGGGGCGGTGGCTCCGGTTGGGAAGCTCCTCCTCCTCCCCCTGGAGGTAATGGGGCGGCGGGCAACCCCCGGCTTGGAGCCCTTGCTTTGCCAAGCTTCCCCGAGGCTGCGAGGAGACCCCTCCGCCTCGCTCACCCTGAAAGCAAACCCGCGTTGAACCTCCCTAAACCGGCTGGCTGACATTGGAGGATTTCCCTCCCCCCCAATTTTTTTATTAGTTTTCACAACATTATAAACAAACAAACACATAAGACAAACGAACACAAATCATAGCCTTATTAAAAATTACACTTATTAACATTGTTAAGTGACTTCCTCGCTTCTCCTTGGTTGAATTTCATTGCACATCCATTTAACGGTTTTCCAACTCACACTTCTTATAAAATTTAACTTAAACATTAACATCCTTAGATCTTCACATTATGAAATTAAACATATTAATTCATCACTTAACTTAAATAAAATCCTAAGCCAATTAAGTATCTGCAAGCTGTTTTCAGTTAGTTTAACTTAACATATTTAACTAAGTAATCATTAAATTTGATCCACTCTTCCTGATACTCCTCCTCCTTCTGGTCGCGGACTCTTCCGGTTAGGTCGGCTAGCTCCAAAAAATCCATCATCTTCATCTGCCATTCTTCTATCGTTGGTAATTCTTGGGTTTTCCACTTTTTAGCTAACAAAATACGAGCAGCAGTTGTGGCATACAAAAATAATTTAACATCTTTATTGGGGAGACTTTGGAGGATTTGGTGCAGGGAAGGCTGCGTTCACGCAACCTATTCACGTGCTCTTCGTGTACACGCATTCGCCCGGCTTATCTAGGGCGCCCCCTGGCGGCGACTTTGCACGCGCGCCAGCAGGCAGGTCTGGTGCCAAATCCTCGCGCGCGTACGGGTTGCTGGCTTCTTGTTATGGGTTCGAGACAAGCATGTGCGAATGTGCACATTGCTCTGAACGAGGTGGGTAGACCAAGGCAGTTGTGTTCTCGGTTTTAGAACTGTGAACTGTAGGGTGGGGGGCATCTTTTTGAATGTTGTCCCCAGTTAAGTAATGAGCATTCAAGCTCCATGCACGCAGTAAGCCAGCACATCAGGGAGGGGACTGTGCTAAACCTTTCTTGTTGGTGCCTTAGTTTTCTACCAGGAAGGACTTTAGTTTTTTAAGGGCAAGGCCTTCAGAGAGATGGCTGGCACCCAGGTGTCAGAAGATGAGTGGCAACACCTCAAATCTGCCATTGTTTCCTGCACCTCCAGTCATTACAATTTTAAGAATTTCATAGCTATCCTATGACAAACTGGTGCTTTTCAGTGGAAAGGAAGCCAGTGTGGTGTAGTGGTTAAGAGCGGTAGACTTGTAATCTGGTGAACCGGGTTCACGTCTCCGCTCCTCCACATGCAGCTGCTGGGTGACCTTGGGCCAGTCACACTTCTCTGAAGTCTCTCAGCCCCACTCACCTCACAGAGTGTTTGTTGTGGGGGAGGAAGGGAAAGGAGAATGTTAGCCGCTTTGAGACTCCAAAGGGTAGTGATAAAGCGGGGTATCAAATCCAAACTCTTCTTCTTCTTCTTCCTGTAATCTCTCAATTCCTGGAAATTGCACAATATTTCTGCATGTCATTATTGAACGGGCCTTTTTCTTTTCTAAACTTGTGTTTCTTAGTATCTTTGCATTCACTTACATAGACACCTTGTTAGTTTTATTTGCTAATTTCTTGTAACAAAATCTCTCAAGTGTCTTCTTTATTATCTCAATTCAAGGTCCCATGTTCTCCCACCTGCCTGCCTGCTCACCCTCCCGTGAGTTCAGGCCAAAGGCTTATCTAGTCCAGCATTCTAGGCTCTGGCTGGTATTCAGAAGTACAGGAGAGACAAAAGCTCAGTTGGTTAGAGTGTGGTGCTGATAACAACAAGGTTGCAGGTTCCATCCCCTTATGGGACAAATGCACATTCCTTCATTGCAGAGACTTAAGTGATCTTTGAGGTCCCTTCCAACTCTTTGATTCTATGAATTCTAAGACTTTAAAGGGAAAGTTGCAATGTATCCCCACCCCTTCCTGGATCCCTCTTCATCTAGTGCATGGGTAGGCAAACTAAGGCCTCCGGCCCAGTCGCCTTCTAAATCCAGCTAGCTCACGGACGGTCCGGGAATCACGGTCCGGGAAATTTTACATGAGTAGAATGTGTCCTTTTATTTAAAATGCACCTCTGGGTTATTTGTGGGGCATAGGAATTCGTTCATTTTTATTATTTTTTTCATAATATAGTCCAGCCCCCCACAAGGTCTGAGGGACAGTGGACTGGCCCCCTGCTGAAAAAGTTTGCTGAACCCTCTGGTGCAAGGAGTGAAAAGCCACCTTCCAAAAAGACCTATCATAGGCTGTTTGGAAGTTGAGCAGGTCGTTTCTTTCTCCTCTTCCTCCACTGCATCACAGGGGGCTGGACTAGATGACCCTCAGGCAGTGGCGTAGCGTGGGTTGTCAGCACCCGGGGCAAGGCAAGTAATTTGCGCCCCCTAACCCGTGGATTTGCGCTCCCTAACCCTAACCCCCAGATGTTGTGCCCGGTGTGGCCGCCCCCCCGCACCCCCTAACCCGTGGATTTGCGCCCCCTAACCCTAACCCCCAGATGTTGTGCCCAGTGTGGCCGCCCCCCTGACCCCCTAACCCGTGGATTTGCGCCCCCTAACCCTAACCCTCAGATGTTGCGCCCGGTGTGGCCGGCCCCCCTGCACCCCCTAACCCGTGGATTTGCGCCCCCTAACCCCCAGATGTTGCGCCCGGTGTGGCCGGCCCCCCTGCACCCCCTAACCCGTGGATTTGCGCCCCCTAACCCCCAGATGTTGCGCCCGGTGTGGCTGGCCCCCCTGCACCCCCTAACCTGTGGATTTGCGCCCCCTAACCCTAACCCCCAGATGTTGCGCCCGGTGTGGCCGGCCCCCCTGCACCCCCTAACCCGTGGATTTGCGCCCCCTAACCCTAACCCCCAGGTGTTGCGCCCGGTGTGGCCGGCCCCCCTGCACCCCCTAACCTGTGGATTTGCGCCCCCTAACCCTAACCCCCAGATTGCGCCCGGTGTGGCCGGCCCCCCTGCACCCCCTAACCCGTGGATTTGCGCCCCTAACCCTAACCCCCAGATGTTGCGCCCGGTGTGGCCGGCCCCCCTGCACCCCCTAACCCGTGGATTTGCGCCCCCTAACCCTAACCCCCAGATGTTGCGCCCGGTGTGGCCGGCCCCCCTGCACCCCCTAACCCGTGGATTTGCGCCCCCTAACCCTAACCCCCAGATGTTGTGCCCGGTGTGGCCGCCCCCCGCACCCCCTAACCCGTGGATTTGCACCCCCTAACCCTAACCCCCAGATGTTGTGCCCGGTGCGGCCGGCCCCCCTGCACCCCCCACACTACACCACTGCCCTCAGGTCCCTTCCAACTCTGCAATTCTATGATTGGACATTCTGAGCATCCTGGAAGCTCACAGGCCCTTGTCAGTCCACTTCTTGAATTTATTTTTATTTACAACCATATATGTCTGGGTACCTTCAGAATTTAGTTTTTGTTTTAAAATATAACCCTCTTTTGCTTCCAGTTCCAGTCACCCTTGTCCACCATTAGAGAGTTTTAGGATGACTCATGGTGCAATCCTATCCTCCGGGTGAACTGTCTCGTTGCAGCGTAGGATCAGAACAGTGTCACATTTAGGGTGGTGTGGGCAGCTCCCCTGCATAGGGCACTGAGCTCAAAATTGAGAAGAGCCATAATTGAGAAGGTGCAGTTGGGGACGCCGAATTTTGGCCTTGCACAGGGTGCCATATTACGGGAGATGAACAAAGTCCACCCCGATCAGAACCAAAATCTCCCTGTGCCAGCGGATCACGGTGACACTAATGTAGCGAGGCCATTGTACCAGAGGCACAATGCCGAAGCTCTTACGCAGTCTGTTTGACCTCCTCCTAAAATAAATTGGCAAGCAGCTGACACTGACACACACACACACACACACACCGTTCTAGGAGGAGGAAGTTATGTGTCCAGGGTAACGGGAGCAAAGCATTTGTGTTTATTGCAGAGAGTAGCCCCTATATTTGTTGGATCAGCAAGTTCATGTTTGAGCTTTTAAAGACCTCTTGTCCAGAGATTCAGAGCCAGAGATTTGTTAATTTTTAACTTGTCAAGAAGTCCTGGAGCTTCATCTCTTGTCAATACTATTTTCCTAAGTTCTTCAGACTCCTTTACTGAAAATGTCGGTTCAAGCCCAAGTATTTGCAGTGGTGAGTGACGCAGAGGATAAATTCAGCTGCAACTCATTTTTCTTAGAAGACGGCTATGCAGATTGTGAGTTCCGTTCCAAATACATCTGCTTTTAAAGCAGCTGAATCTGGGTTGCAGCTGAACTTTGAAAAACAAGATTATGCATGGCAAAGTGTTCCAACAAAGACTGTGGTCTAAGCTCAGGTATTTTAATCAGTCACACCTTATTTTCTGGGGTAGCTTTAGAAATTAGGTGTAATTAATGCACAGGAGTTGACTGACCAGCCCGCCCAGATTCTCCCAGGTTCTTCATTTCCTGCAGGGAATGTGAGATGGGTGGGGTATTGCACCTTTGAATGGCATAAAATGAAAGAAAGCTCAGTTCACACCCTATTGAACTAATGGCATTTCCAGATGACCTGTTTATTGAGATTCCTTCCAGTAGCACCTTAAAGACCAACTAAGTTAGTTCTTGGTATAAGCTTTCGTGTGCATGCACACTTCTTCAGATATCTTCAGTATATTCTTCAGATATTCTTCAGTATCTGAAGAAGTGTGCATGCACACGAAAGCTTATACCAAGAACTAACTTAGTTGGTCTTTAAGGTGCTACTGGAAGGAATTTTTTGTTTTGACTATGGCAGACCAACACGGCTACCTATCTGTAACTGTTTATTGAGAGTTCATCCTACCCTAATCTGTTTGCAAAGAAGTTAG